CCAGCAGATGGGCAAAACGCAGATTCACCAGCTTTGCAGCTAATCAGTTGTTTGTCCTGCAATAAATAACGTGCATTTGAACACAAACTGTACCCTGCCCGTTCCAGCACAGATGAGCAAACAGCCCTATGTGATGGGAAGGCAGTCAGCCCTCAGTGAACAGCAGTGGTCTCCTCAGAACCAGGAGCTGCTGCAGCACCTATTGGGGAACTGCAGCACGCTGGATTTTTTCTGACTTTCTCTGGCCAGTGTTCTGAGCTGTGTTCTGACCTTTTCTAATGACATTTCGATTCTTCAGCAACGGCAGCAGCTTCTATTTGCATTAAGACTGACCGCTCTCCTTTGCTGAGGGAAATTCTGTCTTTTTCATTGCTTGCCTTCCAGGGAAGATCCAGGTACTGAACCTGACGCCCTCAGAGCTCGTTCCTCCCCTCTCTCCAAACTAAACACAGGTTTGGGTTCAGAGGAGCCCACTGCCCTGCTGCAGAGGATGGTTCCCTGCAGGCTACTCTCCCAGCAGCTTGGGAGAAGCTGTTTCTCAACTGAGTTGTTTGTTTGTATGGTGTGTGATTCTCCAGGAAATAAATACCTCTGAGTGAGGGGTGCTTGCAGGGGGTTTAGGCAATGCCCTTCATCGCTCTGCATGTTCCCTATTGTGCTGGCATTTCAATGATCTCTTGTCGCTGCCATGACCAGGTTTTCTCTGCATTTGCCTTGTCAGAACACATCAGAATTGGAGGAAGGTGAAGACTGCCAGCAGAGCAGCATCAACACCCTGCCAGACATCTCTCTGGTAAGACAGCTCACCTTTGGTTATTGATGATACTGAGTGTTACCCCAGGTTCCGTAGCAATTTGCTCTGTCACCGACCCCTGGTGCCACTGCAGTTGCTGAAGTAAAGCAACCAAACTGCTTTGGAAGAAGGATTCAGGGTGTCTGAGTAAGAGTAGCATCTGTGCTTACAGGAACCAGGCAGAAGTTGGGTGGTTTGTCCTCTAATTGTCCTCCTTTGTGAGTCATGTTGCCAATACTGTCCGAAAGATATTTCTGTGCAAATCAGCTGCTTTAGTGGTGCCCTGGGTGCGTGACTGGCTCTGTTCTTGCTTTGGCAGGATGACCTCTCGCCCTTCCCAGAGGAACCCCCCAGTTTCAAGCCTCCCCCTCCTCCCACAGCCCCCCAGATGCTGGACCCCTCCGCTGCCCAGCACAGGAACCCGGGGAAGGACAAACCCAAGCGCCCTTCCTCCGAGTCCTCCCAGTCAGGCCTCTTCTTTGTGGCCCCCCGAAACCCCACACCCCCTCCGAGCCACTCTGAGAAGGACACCATCAGCGTGGCCTCCACTGCCACCACCTCCACTGAGGAATCCTCCCCGAGCGCCATCTATGCCACCATTTCCCCAACCCCGCGTGGCTCCCGACGGCAAATGGACCCCCAGCTCTCCCTGCTCAGTCATCCCCCCATCGGCCCCTTCCCCAGGGTGCAGTCCCCCACCAGGCTGACCAGCCCTCCTGCAGATGGCCCTGCGGCTGCCGGCTGCCAAAGCCCCGCGTCCCCATCCCCACCTCCACCCCCAGCCCACCCCGCTCCCCCTCCTCCCAGCCCTCAGGCCAACCAGCACTTCATCATGGTGGAAGTGCACCAACCCAACAGCGAGCCCGATGTCAACGAAGTGAGGCCCTTGCCCCAGGCTCGAGGTGGGTGTACTGCCAGGGTAAAGGCAAAATTGGAAGGTCCCCATTGCTTTGTTTATTGGGGTGTTGGCTGTAAGTCCAGTTTGGCTTTAGCTTGGGGGCTCATCTGCTCACACAGTCCCAGTGCTGGGCTGTGGGATGGGAGTGCGTCCTGCAGGAGGCAACATCCTTTGATCTGACCAGCAGCCTGTTGGAGAGAGATGGATGTGAAAGCTGGACTGTTTGGTGCATGAAGAGTTGGTTGGATGGTCATAGCCAGAGGGCTGTGGTCAATGGCTCTGTGTCCAGGTGGAGGCTGGTCAGGAGTTGTATTCCCCATGGCTCCAGCTTGATGCTCTTGAACATCTTTACCAAAGACCTTGACAATGGTATCAAGTTGTACCCTCAGCAAGTTTGCTTTGTGGTGCATCTGACACCGTAGAAGGAAGGGATGCCATGCAGATGGACCTGGACAGGCTTGCCCACATGAACCTAATGAGGTCCTACAAGGCCAAGTGCAAGGTGCTGCATTTAGACTGGGGCAATCCTGGACATGAGTACAGACTGGGAGAATAACTCCTTGAGAGCAGCCCCGTAGAGAAGAACTTGAGGGCGCTGATGGATAGAAAGCTGGACATTAAGCAGCTATGTGTGCTTGCATCCTGGTCTGCATCAGTAGTGGGCTGGCAGTGGGCAAGGACCAGATTGTCCCTCTGCCCTCCTGCGGCCCCACCTGCAGCGCTGCCCCCACCCAGCACGGAGAGGTGTGGGGCTGTGGGAGTGGGTCCAGAAAAGGGCCGTGAGGATGCTCAGAGTGGCACTGCCGCCCTCCCGTGGCACCGCTCTCCCACTGCAATTAGTTCGTTAATCACGGTAACGAGAGGAACGAACACCTGCCTCAGGCACCGTCCTGCTCGAGGGGTGTCAGCGGTGGGACCCAGCGCTTCCAAAAGGGACATTCCCAAGGTTTCAGTCCTCCCTGCAAGGGTTCCCAATGCCCATTTCCAGGCTTCTTCTGCACCCACATCCTGCATCCTCCAAGGGGATAAAGCCCCAGTCTGGCAGCTCGTGCTTCAGGAGCAGGAGGGGAAGGCTCTGGGTTGGCTTGCAGTAATTCCAACACGAGCTCACCATCCTCTCCCAACCACCCCAATTCATGACCCAAACTGAATCCCGAATCCAAGCTTGGGGGCACTTGGTGCTCCCAGTGCACATCTCTGCTCTTTGGGATGGGTTCACTTGGGAACCTCACTCTAAAATGAGGTCCAAACAGGAGGGACCTGCCCAGCCCCGGGAGCAGAGGAGATGTCCTGGCACAACCAGTCCCATCATCCGACCCCCCTCTAACAGCCCACATCTCTCCACAGCCTCCACGCTCTCCCAGCTGTCAGACAGCGGGCAGACACTCAGCGAGGACAGCGGGGTGGACATCGGCGAGGTGGAGGTCAGCGGCAAGGACAAGAGCAGGCAGCCGGTCCCTGGGAAAAGCAGAAGCCTCAAGGAGGGCACAAGGAGTGAGGGGACAGCAGAAGGGGCCTCCAAACCGGTGAGGATGGGTGCTGGGGGAGCTTGGGGTCAGGGATCAAGGGAGAGAACATCGCTGACAGGACAAAGGGGAACGGTTTTAAACTGAAAGAGGGGAGATTGAGATTAGACTTCAGGAAGAAATTCTTCACAGTGAGGGTGGTGAGGCGCTTTCCCTCTGCCTTTGTGTGCTGTGGGATCGTAGTGGGTGGCCGGAGCCCCTCAGCATCACTGCCCTGTGCCCACAGCCAGGGCTCCTGGAGCCCACCTCGTGTCTGATCCGGGTGTCCAAGAGCGCGCCGACCTTGGGAATCGCCATCGAGGGCGGAGCGAACACGCGGCAGCCACTGCCCCGCATCGTCACCATACAGGTAGGGGGAGCTGAGGATGGGGAGAGCTCGGCACATGTCCCAGCCCTGTGCTCCCCGTTGGCTTGGGAAAGCCCCACAGTCACCTGCTGTCAGCCGTGTGGCTCCAGCCCTGCCCAGGGGGGATTTTCGGGATGCCTCCATTCTGTTAGGGAGGACTTGAGGAGTGGAGGGTTGTTCACGTGCTGTGGCTGATCCCATAACATGAGGTGTGTCCCGGGAATGGAGGGCTCACTGCAGACGTGCAGGGGATGTGGGCAGCCCCAAGAACAACCTGCCAAGTGTGGGGATTGGGGAAGGGAGAATGGTGGATGAGGGCTGGGGAGCAGCGCCCGCAGCTCTGCCCTCGGGAGCAGCCTGCTCTGCTCTTTGCTTGGAGCAAACCTCAAGTTACAGCAGCAGAAGGGCAGAGCTGAGCCCGTCCCTCCTTTGCAGCGCGGCGGTTCAGCACACAACTGCGGGCAGCTGAAGGTGGGCCACGTCATCCTGGAGGTGAACGGCACGGGGCTGCGGGGCAAGGAGCACCGCGAGGCTGCCCGCATCATCGCCGAGGCCTTCAAGCTGAAGGAGAAGGACTACATCGATTTCCTGGTTACAGAGTTCAACGTCGCCCTTTAGGAGCCACGTGGGCCCCGGGGGGCACCCGGATGGGAACGGGAGGCGACGTGGGGGCACCAGTGCCCCCTCCCCACTGCTGCACCGCAATGCACACGCAGAATCCCACACCGTCCCCAGCTGTCCCCCACGGGGCTGAGAACGGACAGACTCGCACCCATTTTGGGGCAGGGGTGCCCTATGCCCAAGGGGGGGGGGAACTATCCCTATGTCCCCGCGGTCATTCTGGTGCCAGGTGAGGGGGAGGAGGTGGAAAGATGAGCACGCAGAGAGCAGCCGGACGCCTTGTGACTTGCTGCCGCTGTCATTGTATTTATACACAGAGCTTGGCTTTAGTTTTTCAATAAACGGGCGGTTATAGGGCGGTATTGGGATGCCTATGGGGCGCGGCGCGGCGCAGAGGCCGCCAGGGGGTGCCCGCGCTGCATAAATTATGATGATGAGCAACACTTTCCGCTCTCCCATTGGCCGTCTCGCCCAGGCTATGCAAATGAAAGCAAAGAGCGATCTTTATGCTAACGAGCTCTGACGGCGCACTGCGATTGGAGGAATGAAGTGGGGCCGGGGATGAACGCGCGGCCACGCCCACCCCGGCTCGGGCCGCGCTATTGTGCAGCGGGGCCGGGAGCGGAACGGAGAGGGGCTGGGGGGGGAGGATCGTGCTTACAAGTGAGTGGAGGGGATGGAACTGTGATGGGAAGGGAGGAGGGTGGGGGGAAGGAGTGCGGCCCGGAGCTGGGCAGGCACTGGGAGCGGGGCCAACGCCGCGCAGCGCCGCTCCTCCCTGTACGGAAGGGGGGGCACGGCCCCAAGGGCCCCCATCCTGGAGAGGTTTTGCGGTGGGAGGCGGCCGGAGATCCGGAGTTGTGATGGAGCTCCGAGCAGCGGTACTGCATGAGCTGTGCGTCCGGAAGGGGTTCGGGTGCGTCCGTGGGTCGGCCGCGGGAGGGAGGGAGGGAGGGAAGGAGGAAGAGGGGAGCGGGGGCTGCCGCTGCTGTTGCTGCGAGGAAGTGGCGGGGGCCGCCGGCAGCTTCAGTTCCTGGTTTCGAGGAAGGCGCTGAGCTCACCCGGCTGCGGTCCCGCTGGGGTTGTGACATCTCCGGGCCGCCCCGAGCAGCGCTGCCCCGCGCCCGGCCCGACGGCGGCGGGCATCGCCCTCCATCCCCATCCCACCCCGGGCTGCGGGTCGCACAGCGATCGCTATCGCCCAGCCGTGGCTGTCACCGCGCCCACCCCGCTGCGTTGGGGTTCTTCCCCAAAGGGACCCGCAGCTCTAAGGATCGGGATGTGGGAGCTTTGCTGTCCCACTGGGGCCGGTGGGAGACACGGGGGGGGGGGGGGGGGGGGGGG